AATAATAATAATAATAATAATAATAATAATAATAATAATAATAAATATATGAGGAGGATAGGTATCATCTAACAAATAGTAATAATAATATTATAATAAATGAGGTAGGTAGTATCTATTTTTAAGAATAAAATGATAGGGGAGGTGGGAGTTTGGGAACATAGCACATGGGTGTGGAAGAACTTAACATGGAGAAGAGCAAGACTAGTGTGGAAAACAATCCACGAACAATAATTATTGAAACTTATAAATGGCTAAACTCCTAAAATAATTATATAGATTATTGGCTGGTCATGGATGGAAATGACAAAAGTGTTTGTGTTTACGAGTATCCGTGGATTTTACAACGGTTGATTGAGATCCATAGGTATTTATAAATTCTAAGTAGTATTGTAAATAGAGAATATTTTAATATCCGTTTATAACACGATGTTGTATCATACTATTTATATTCACATTACTTATAAAAAATTAAAATTAAAATTATATTTTATTAAGTTAAATTTAATTAAAATTAATTTATATTTTATTAGATTAAATTTAATTAAAATTAAATTTATATTTATATTTAATTTAATTAATATTATATTATATATATATATATATATATACATATATATTTGGAAATTTTAAGATTTTATTTAAAAAAATTCTAAAATATTTTTTTAAAATATTTGTGATACCTACAAATTTTAAAATATTTGTGGATAATTTTTAAACGAAATATTGATAGATAACGAGACGTATAAAAAGTAAATTTTTTTTTAATAATCTAGATAGTGAATAAACATTATTTATCTCCAACCAGATCCGTCGTCATAAATAAAGAAAGCATCATATACAAAGTAAGATTTACATACAAAAGGTAATATAAAAAAGGATAATAAAGCATTGAAAAGCTTGTAAAGTTTAAATGTGATTCTAAAGAGAGAAATATTAGTGTGAAGAGTAATGATCGATAAAGTAAGAAGAAAGATAAAGCTTGGAAGAAAAGGAATAGCATTAGAAAAATATCTGACCTGACTTGGGTGGAGAAAGTGAGGAGAACGTTAATCATCCATTCTTTGATTGTAAAATAACTAAAACTATGTTGGATATGTGTGATATTAATTTCCAACATTTTCATCTTATACAAATAAATGAAAAGCAAAATAAAGTATGGAAATATTTTTTATATAAAAATGGAGTAATTTTAAATAGTCAAAAGAAATATTTTTTATGACAAATTAGCATGGTTTGTGGCAGCTTCAGTATCAACTCAGATAACCTCATGCACACCAAGCAACCAAGGACGTAGCTCTCACTTACTTTAAACATACTATGTACTATCTTAACAAAATCTCGATGAGATCTTAACAAAATCCAGTAATAACAAGATGAATTTATAATACATAAATGAAAGTAAAATTCGTTTTATAAACTAAGTAAACTTAAAATCCATGTTTCAAGATAATCTATTTAAAGAAAATCAACCCTCAACCTTCAAAAGTTTAGCAAACCAATTAACTGGAATGCCAACGACAACACGATTTGATTTTTTAGGGTTCATACGAAACCCTATGACTTCCCTGTCAATTCCTGTAGAATTCACCATCTTTACGTCTTTCTCTTGCTCCGTTTCCAAACACAAATTATCCACCATCTTCACCGAGAAATGAATAACTCCGTTTCGTTGACCATCCCAGCCCCTCAAACCATAGCAAAAACTTTGAGGAACATTTTCAGACAAAACACTCTGATTTTTTACAGTAACTAAATCCGAAAGAGCAATCCTTGCTACTCCGACAGGACGAACTTCTTTGTATTTCTTGCATTGCACTTCAAACGTAACACACCTTGCATATGAAGGAACCTCCAACAGCAATTTCTCATTCCATGCATGCACTCCATCATTTCCATTTACCATTTTGGTCGTGCAACAGTTCAAAGACTCAGCACGAACAACAACACAGACCTCGGAAACTGAATTTCGATCCAGTCTTATGTTTTCTCCGGACACGACGGTGATCTCCAAGGTGCGTTTTTTCTGGTATGCCTCCATATCTAGGAGAAATTTAGACTACGTAAGTACGTGTGTGTTTGTATGTTAAGGAAAGATTGTTTGAGATGAAAGAGTAGGAAAACCGTGAGGGCCTTAAATAGAAGAGTTTTATAGGAAAAGATGTGGAAAGAACACAGTTTTTCCTATATAACAATGGGTGAAAACTTAACTATTTGAAATCGTGTACAATTTAATAAAGATGTTGACCTTGACTTAGACCTTGAATTTTGTTGTGGTAATTTACGTGAAAACGTGCTTTGCCCAGTCATTAATTTCCACGAAGAGTTTTGTACAATAGAAGACCTTTTCCACACGTAAATTTCAATGTTTATAAATGTCCTTCGTGTGGAATATCTGCTTGTTATATAAGTTTTCTCAAGTTTAAATAAGTTAATTTCTATAATTTGTGTAAGTAATGTAGTGATATATATATGCAATTGAAACTTTGAGTTTATATTTTAAAGTAAAATAACTCTGTTGTTAGTTTTTTCTTTTCACCTATTTGGTTTCCAATGTGAAATGGATTAAGAAAATAAAATTTGTCCAGAGAGATAACTTCAACGACTAAGTTATATAATATGTAAAAGAAGTTAAACAATTTGAAGATTGTACAATAAAGAAATTTAGAGACCATGCCTTTACCTGAAATTATGTGTGTGTATTTGATTTACATTTTAAAAAAATGGTAATTTTAAGCGTAAAATTAGTAAAATAATTATTTTAATTTTAAAAAATATTTAACAGGTAAAATTGAAAATAAAATATATACATCAAAAGAAAATCCCCTTTATATAATAGTATAGATAAAATATATGAAGCAATTTTTTTTTGGAATTCAATACGGATAAAAAAAATTAATATTAATGAAACTATATTACAAGTTTTATTCCAATTTCTGACTCCGTATATAATCATGATGATGGTGATTTTAGCATTATATATGTTTGTCCTTTTCTTCTGCAATAAATAATAATAATAATTTAGTGGAGTTGTTATACTTATCAATTTGTCTATTTACTATTATTTTAATCATATGAACATACTTTAAAGCTTCCTTACTAAGAAATTATGGAAGAACTTGTATAACAATTTGTTGTGACAAATTAATAGAAGAAAAAAAAAACCTTAAATATCTATTCAGTCTAGTCAATAAAAAAAATACAGTTTGCATAACTTTTAAGATAAAGGTTAATATTATTTTTTAAGATAATTATTTTATACTGCTATTCAATCACAAATTATTATTATTACTATATAATAAAATTTTTTAAACTAAATACCTTGAAAATCGGTAATGAAAATTGATAGGATAATACTGGAACCACTAAGGTCTAATTGAAAAAGTTAACATACAAGTAATCCATGATTATTTGGAATTTAATAATAGTGTAAAATTTATACTATCCCGTGTATAATCTATTTCTTTAATAAAAGACTATCATATGATAATCCAAAGCTTTCAACACCAATCTATTAACACAATTTTTCAATTTAAGTCTCAATTTATAATTAAAAATGGTATAGAAATTGGTAAATAGTGGACATTGTCTTTGTCTTTGTAAATTTTATAAATTATAAACATCAAATTAATGCATATATTTTAAATACATTTAATTATTTTAAAAAATAAGTATTGAATATTTTTTTTTCTTAACTAGTGCTTCTTCAAGCTATACAAACTTAATAAAAAAAACTAATTTATTTTTAGTTAACGAGAAGCTTTGATCTCATCAACTTTTAAATATGATTATATTTCAAATAGAGAAAACATAGGAAATGATCTTGTACTTTTACGTAATCGATGAATTTAACCTTACAAACTCTAAAGTTGTAGGCTATTTATAGAAGAAAATAAATTTGTTCAAAAGCGAGTAAAAGAAATAGATAAAAGTAATACGAGAACATGTGGTTACAAAATAAAACAAATTTTTAAAAATAAAACTAGTGCATTTTTTTAATGAAATTGATCAAAAAACGATTTAGAAATAAAGACATTATGTTTTAAAATTATAATTTTTTATCTTAATATTTAAAAAGAATTATGTTTATTTAGTATACTGTTTTAATTTGTTTTAAACTCTTTTCTTTTTTCTTTAATTTTTTTTGTAAATAATGTTTTTTATTAAATTTTACATGTAATTATATATATATATATATATATATATATATATATATATATTTTGAAGCAAAATGTTAATATTTTCATATTCAAATTTTAATTTATTAATCAAATAATTGAAAAAAATTAAAATAAATTTTTTTATCCTGAAATAAAATAAATAAAGTTTTAAGGTAAAAAAAGTGAAGAAACTGAAATTTATACAACTTAATTAAAAAAGGAAAATAAAAAGTAAAAATAGTGTATCTGATTTCTTTTTGAACATAGAACTCATATATTAAAAATAAATCATGTTTTCAAATCATCCATTTGTATAATATTCTAAAAGTTTATATATTTGTACAAATTTTTAAAAATTTATTACTTTCATTTAATAGAAAAACCAATATTAAAGTATTCAAACACATTGTTATACATTTCCTACTGAGCTAAGTTAAAATCATGTCTGTGTTTATATTGGAGGACCACTTTAAAGGTGTGAAGATGAATGAATTTGGAGAAGAAGAGAAGTTATTGTATGAGATTTTTGAATTAAGAGGAAGAGAATAAAAAATGAAGAGAAATAAGAATAAAGTTTATAACATTATTATTTATATTATTAATATTAGGCTTAATTACCTACTTAGTCCCCATGTTCGGAGGTAATTTGTTGTTTAGTACCCGGTTTTAAAAATATAGGCATTTGATACCTATGTTTTGAAATTTGTATCAATTGAATCCTACACAATTAACGAAGTTATAAATCTAACGTTTTTCTGACTGTGTATGTGATTTGTGGACGAGCGTTTGTGGACGAGCGACGAGGACGATCGTCCAGCGAAGAGGACGCTCGTCCAGCGAGGCAGAAGAGGACGCTCGTCCAGCGAAGCGAACGCCCAGTCAGGCAGAAGAGGACGCTCGTCCAGCGAAGCGAACGCCCAGTCAGGCAGAAGAGGACGCTCGTCCAACGAAGCGAACGCTCGTCCATAACCGCTCGTCCACAAATCACATACACAGTCNAATTCACCATCTTTACGTCTTTCTCTTGCTCCGTTTCCAAACACAAATTATCCACCATCTTCACAGAGAAATGAATAACTCCGTTTCGTTGACCATCCCAGCCCCTCAAACCATAGCAAAAACTTTGAGGAACATTTTCAGACAAAACACTATGATTTTTTACAGTAACTAAATCCGAAAGAGCAATCCTTGCTACTCCGACAGGACGAACTTCTTTGTATTTCTTGCATTGCACTTCAAACGTAACACACCTTGCATATGAAGGAACCTCCAACAGCAATTTCTCATTCCATGCATGCACTCCATCATTTCCATTTACCATTTTGGTCGTGCAACAGTTCAAAGACTCAGCACGAACAACAACACAGACCTCGGAAACTGAATTTCGATCCAGTCTTATGTTTTCTCCGGACACGACGGTGATCTCCAAGGTGCGTTTTTTCTGGTATGCCTCCATATCTAGGAGAAATTTAGACTACGTAAGTACGTGTGTGTTTGTATGTTAAGGAAAGATTGTTTGAGATGAAAGAGTAGGAAAACCGTGAGGGCCTTAAATAGAAGAGTTTTATAGGAAAAGATGTGGAAAGAACACAGTTTTTCCTATATAACAATGGGTGAAAACTTAACTATTTGAAATCGTGTACAATTTAATAAAGATGTTGACCTTGACTTAGACCTTGAATTTTGTTGTGGTAATTTACGTGAAAACGTGCTTTGCCCAGTCATTAATTTCCACGAAGAGTTTTGTACAATAGAAGACCTTTTCAACACGTAAATTTCAATGTTTATAAATGTCCTTCGTGTGGAATATCTGCTTGTTATATAAGTTTTCTCAAGTTTAAATAAGTTAATTTCTATAATTTGTGTAAGTAATGTAGTGATATATATATGCAATTGAAACTTTGAGTTTATATTTTAAAGTAAAATAACTCTGTTGTTAGTTTTTTCTTTTCACCTATTTGGTTTCCAATGTGAAATGAATTAAGAAAATAAAATTTGTCCAGAGAGATAACTTCAACGACTAAGTTATATAATATGTAAAAGAAGTTAAACAATTTGAAGATTGTACAATAAAGAAATTTAGAGACCATGCCTTTACCTGAAATTATGTGTGTATATTTGATTTACATTTAAAAAAATGGTAATTTTAAGCGTAAAATTAGTAAAATAATTATTTTAATTTTAAAAAATATTTAACAGGTAAAATTGAAAATAAAATATATACATCAAAAGAAAATCCCCTTTATATAATAGTATAGATAAAATATATGAAGCAATTTTTTTTTGGAATTCAATACGGATAAAAAAAATTAATATTAATGAAACTATATTACAAGTTTTATTCCAATTTCTGACTCCGTATATAATCATGATGATGGTGATTTTAGCATTATATATGTTTGTCCTTTTCTTCTGCAATAAATAATAATAATAATTTAGTGGGTTGTTATACTTATCAATTTGTCTATTTACTATTATTTTAATCATATGAACATACTTTAAAGCTTCCTTACTAAGAAATTATGGAAGAACTTGTATAACAATTTGTTGTGACAAATTAATAGAAGAAAAAAAAAACCTTAAATATCTATTCAGTCTAGTCAATAAAAAAAATACAGTTTGCATAACTTTTAAGATAAAGGTTAATATTATTTTTTAAGATAATTATTTTATACTGCTATTCAATCACAAATTATTATTATTACTATATAATAATATTTTTTAAACTAAATACCTTGAAAATCGGTAATGAAAATTGATAGGATAATACTGGAACCACTAAGGTCTAATTGAAAAAGTTAACATACAAGTAATCCATGATTATTTGGAATTTAATAATAGTGTAAAATTTATACTATCCCGTGTATAATCTATTTCTTTAATAAAAGACTATCATATGATAATCCAAAGCTTTCAACACCAATCTATTAACACAATTTTTCAATTTAAGTCTCAATTTATAATTAAAAATGGTATAGAAATTGGTAAATAGTGGACATTGTCTTTGTCTTTGTAAATTTTATAAATTATAAACATCAAATTAATGCATATATTTTAAATACATTTAATTATTTTAAAAAATAAGTATTGAATATTTTTTTTTCTTAACTAGTGCTTCTTCAAGCTATACAAACTTAATAAAAAAAACTAATTTATTTTTAGTTAACGAGAAGCTTTGATCTCATCAACTTTTAAATATGATTATATTTCAAATAGAGAAAACATAGGAAATGATCTTGTACTTTTACGTAATCGATGAATTTAACCTTACAAACTCTAAAGTTGTAGGCTATTTATAGAAGAAAATAAATTTGTTCAAAAGCGAGTAAAAGAAATAGATAAAAGTAATACGAGAACATGTGGTTACAAAATAAAACAAATTTTTAAAAATAAAACTAGTGCATTTTTTTAATGAAATTGATCAAAAAACGATTTAGAAATAAAGACATTATGTTTTAAAATTATAATTTTTTATCTTAATATTTAAAAAGAATTATGTTTATTTAGTATACTGTTTTAATTTGTTTTAAACTCTTTTCTTTTTTCTTTAATTTTTTTTGTAAATAATGTTTTTTATTAAATTTTACATGTAATTATATATATATATATATATATATATATATTCCCGTGTTGTTGTGAGAAGAATTAGGCCTTTAACGTAAAAAAATAAGTATTATAGATGTTTTGAAAATTAGAAAGGTAGGGTCAACGTCAACCTCTCGTCTCTGTGTGCAAATACGCGGTAACAAACATAGTTGCATTTCGTAAGTTGTTTCTTCACTTGTTCATATGCAAAACCTCTTACTTATAGCCCCTTCCACTCTTCCAATCCTTTCATCCCAAACACTACCTACTCAAAATAACACTAAATAAATTGCTTAGCTGTGTGCAAACCTTGTTAGGTACTGTAAAAGTGTCATAGATATGGAAGGCTAGTACAGAAAAAACGCACCTTGGAGATAACAGTTGTGTCGGGAGAAAACATAAGTGTGGATCGAAATTCAGTCGGAGAGTATTGTTGTTGTTCGTGCGAGTCTTGAACTGTTGCACGACCAAAATGAAGTAAATGGAGATGATGGAGTGCATGCTGGAATGAGAAATATGCTGTTGGAAGGTTCATTGCATATGCAAGGCTGTGAAATGACCCGGTTTTGAAGTGCAATGCAAGAAATACAAAGGAAGTTCGTCTGTGGGAGTAGCAAGGATTGCTCTTCGGGTTAGTTTCTTGTCTGCCAAAAAATGACAATGTTTTATCCGAAAAGATGTGTCTCCAGATGTTTTGTTATGGTTTTGAGAAGCTGGGGACGGTGGACCCGGAACGGGGGTTTCATTTTCAGTAAAGGTAGGTGATAATTATATGCAAGAAACAAACAACGGCAGAGAAAGACGAAAGATGGTGCATGCAGAGGAATCGAGAATGAAGTTAAGAAATCAAGTGATGCTGCCATTCCAGTTAATTGGTGCACTAACCAAATTGTTCTTTGAATGTTGTTTTCTTATGTGAAGAAAAATGTGTACCATTTTAACATTTAATACTCAATAAAATGATATGATCTTTATTTTTATAAAATAATAAATAATAAATAATTAATGTTTTATATTTATTTTTATTCATTGATTGAGTAGAGATGAGACAAAAATATCATACTTGAGAATAAAATGAATTTTTACTTTCATAGTGAAATCTCATTTCTTATTTTCAAATCTATAGTTTCTTTCAACATAATTCTTCAATAAAAATATATAAAAATAAAAACAATCTCATTCTTTTGTTTTACAAAATTAATTTTCTCCAACCTTACTATCTAAAACGAAGTCGATCATTTAAACGCGAGACTAATTTTCGTTTCTCAATTTCTTTCCTTCTCCACAAGCTATTGTCAAATGTAGAAAGGTTTTATAAGATGATGGTCATAAGTTTTCTTATACTTGTCTTCATAGGATTACGCTGAATTTGACCTAGTAAACATTTCAAATATGTAAGGCAAGATTAAAATAACTCGTTTCGATAAATGAAAACGAATCCTAATATTATAGTTAAAGAGTAGATAAAGTAAGTAGAAATTTATTTATAGGTCAAGCACATATGTTATCTAAGTTTAGTTCTTGAATAGTCCTCACAGAGGAAATGAAGTAACGTTGAAAGAAAAATTATAACATATAAAGCAGGTGTGGATTAAAATTATAAACACTAAGAATAATTATTTTAAAAACATTAAATTACATAATATCCGAGTTCTGTATATTTTAGATAAATCATTTGGCTAGAATTAAAATATAAAAGTAGAAGGTAAAAAAATGAATACATTATATTAGTTCTGGTAGTTTGAAAAAAACAGGGTTGCCAATTCAATGCTTCATTTCCACTTCATCATATACAAAAAACAAATACATGATTGGTTGAGAGGAACTTTTAGAAATGGAGTTATAGAAGACGATAACACGAATAAATGTTATATAAAAAATGACCTATTTGTAACAAAAAAGGTGTTGCGACATACTAATTAATAATATTTTTTATAAAGTGTATTTAATTTTCTATTTTTGTAGTACAGTAAAAACTTTAGAAGTATTCAACATGGTAATATATATATATATATAATATAGATATATATACTATATTAATAGATAATATATATATAAACTCAGATTCCCTGTAAAAATAATTCCTATAGTTGTAATTTCTCCAACTCGGAAACTCCAAGATAAATGTTGGGCAGGAAAAATTGATGAGACAAACAATCTCATGAAAACTTCATGTGTGTGAGAATTTATTTAAAAAAGAATCATCTTCTTCTTTCTTTTCTGTGTGTTGCTAATCCAAAATGGGTAAGCGTGAGAGGTAACATAGATTTTTAATAACTCAGCTGGCGTGATTTGTAGGTAATCAAATATTTCAACCTAATAGTTTCGGGCACAATGCTGGAGAATTGTTCCTATAATAAGTAATTCATTTGATAGTATATATGATATATTATATATACATAGATCGATATAGATAAATATATAATATAGCACCAACTACATAGTTGACTACTTTATGAACATAATTTTTTCTCTCCAAAATACTTAAGTTAAGGAGGCTCCGTACACGACAGAACAAATAAACTGTCACCTTAATATGGTTCATTTAAGTAATGTTTTATAATAGGTCCTCGATTCTTGTCACCGTTAATGTTTTGTCGTGTTGCTGAGCCTCACATTCGGTATAAATGTCAAAAACCGTTACTTGCAAAGGAATTGAAGTGTGCAGGTAATGGAAAATCTCTTATAAATTTTGTTTTGTTTAATCTTGTTCTTCATAATGACTTTTAAGGTACGGTGTTGAGCAAGTTGAAGCTCGTTGGATTTTCTAACATCATAATACATAGCATTAATAGTCAATCTAATTTGTTAAGATGATTCTCACCTTTGTACTTTTGAAATATAGAAAATTGTAAATTTCAATTTGCATCACTTAACCTACTTTCTTTTAACCTAGTTTTAAAATATGAGTAAAACTCTCAGTCTTTCAAATAAATAAAACTGAGAGAAAATTTATTAAAATATTTATGGAGACACCTTAGTAT